ATTAGATGCCCGATCGAGCCCAAAATAAGACAGTTGGATAGCTGAATGTACGCAGATCACAATGCACCTTTAAAAATCTTCATCCTCAAATATAACACCAGGGTGCTATAGCCTACGCGCGAAATAGAGCACCCACCCCCCCTTTTTAGCATGAATTTTATAGTATACCCGGGGTGTTATATCCAGGGGATTACGGTATTTAAGGATCAGAAACCTAAAAAATGTACCTGATGAGCAGGCCTGTCGTTATCAGGGTATTTTACCCTGATTCCCTGATTTCACGGAGTTTTTTGTTTGCCAACCCTTAATTTTCAGGGTTGGGCTTTTTTTAACCCTAACCTCTTCAGGGTTGTATGTTTTTTAACACTTAGAATTTCAGGGTTTGCGTTATCACAACACTGAGTTTTCAGGGAGTAACGCGTATGAACCCTGAATGCGACATCCATGCGGACCTTGAGTTTCGCCAAAATGGCCCCCTTACACGTGACGGGTCCCAGTCCATTGAATACGCCCAGCATGCGTCACGTGCAGAATCTACACTTGGCAACATTCCCGCCATGTACACGCTGTATGTTGCCATCGCAGCAACATTTCCAACCGTTAAATGTGGGATGATGCACTCCGTCTTGCCCCAGCCTGGCAATCGTGACTCAGCACGTAGCAGACGAGGACAGAATATGCTGAGCGCTGCCTCTGTATGACATCACAGCGCCAATCAAGAGTATGCAGACAATGCCAGCACAGGTGCGTCCCGCCGTCCACGGTATCGCCATGGCGATGCGGGATCCTGGATGGGTTATGCACCGTCCACAAAAATCGACATCTGGGGTTTCTTGGTCCCCTTCTCATCTTCTTCACCGGCTTCTCCTCCAACCCAGTTTCCTCCATTTCTTCACATCGCAGATACGAGATGCTCTACTCTTCTTTCTTGTCCCCTTTCATCGCGACGATTTCTCGTATCGATCATTCCCCCCGCTACTAGCCATCGCGGATGTGGGAGAGTCTGATGATTCTCCCGCTGATGGTTGTGGACTAGGTAGGGACCCCCCCGTGGAGGTCCGTAGATCCGCTCTAGACATCTTGCGGTCACCCACCGTGGTCGTTTCACCATCACAACCCGTATCTACTCCCGCTCCCTATGTACCTCCGCCCGCCGTCGCTTCATCTAGTCGAGGCCCTTGGGTTCCAGACTGCGAGACAGCCACGACCGTGCGTTACACGGTCGAGTGTGCTTCCACGATCTCATCTGGGAAAAAAGCATGCATCGGGAAGTACACCCAGAGCACGATAGTCCTCGGCGGGAAGCTACGTCGATCGTCGCCGCCTCGCACGTCGCTTGAACCTCAGGCCCCTGCTATTCCAGAACCCGAGCCACCGAAGCTCTCGAAGAAAGAGCTCGTCGAGCAGAAGTATCTCATGGCTGAGCACAAGTATAAGACCTGCTGGCTTCCATTTTTTCCTTGGCTTCTTCTAACGAAAACAAAAGACGGTTACCCTGCGTTGAAGTGCAGTGTGTGCAAGGCTTTCGGCAAAGAGACAACACCGTACTCCAACAGCCACGACGGGGCACGTGACCTGCAGACACAAGCGATGCGGTTCCACGAACACACAACAGCCCACAAAGTAGCAGTCAAACGTCAGATGGATGCCGAAGACATCGCCAGCACCCAGAGGCGCATGGAGAATTACGCGTGGAATGACATCGAGGGGAAACGCGTCACGAGGCTCCTACGCTGCGTCGACTTCCTGTGCAAGTGTGATGCACCCATCAGCATGTACCCGAGGCTACTCCGCTTCATGGCCGAGCAGGAGACCCCAGACATTCCGTTGCAGTCTTACGGAGTCTACCTGACACGGTAATGCAATGATTCCAAGTACAGCATAGCCTTTTCTTTTTAAATAGGTCTAACAAACACCCTGTTGCTACTTATGACCCTACAGGTATGGCTTCTGTCAGCTCGTCAGCAGCTTGGCATCCTACCTGCAACGCCGACAAATGGAACACATTCTCGCCTCACCCTACCTCGGCATCAGCTGCGACGAGAGCACTGACCGTACTCGCGGTAAACATCTGATTGTTTATCTAACCTTCTTGCGGGCGCATCGTGTTGTCACAGAGTTTTTTGCACTCTTGATCGTCGAAAAGTGCGACGCCGCGTCACTCCTCGCCGTTCTTCTGGCTCACTTGCGAGCAACTGGCATCGATGTCTCCCGAATCACCGGCATGAGCACCGACGGCGCCTCTGTCATGGTCGGCCGAGACAACGGTCTCGTCGCCCGACTTCGCGAGCACATCCCCCATCTCGTCTCTTCGCACTGCATCTCGCACAGGTGTAACCGCTTATCATTTTAGTCGCTTAGGGTTCCTATAAGTGCTTGACTAAAATTCCTTGTGTGCACCATGCAGGGAAGCCTTGGCGGTGAAGGACGCCGCAACTGCTTCTCCAGACTTCGACATGGTCGACCTTGTGATTCGGACTCTGGCCGATCTTCTGGGACGTTCTTGTGTCTGGAGTCAACGCTTCAAGTACTTGCAGCGGGCAATACACAACACCAACCTTGAAGTGCAAGGAATCCACACCGTGCACTGGCTTTCAAGGGGTGAGGCTGTGAGGCGCCTCTGTAAGGTCCTTGGCGCCGCTATCATTCTGTTTCATTAGTACGGGCATGAGCTGTATGAAGTTGTCATCTGTTACAAGTTCCAGTTCTGTCTCTTTTTCCTGGCGGACGTGCTCGGAGTGATGAATGAGCTCAACCTCAAATTTCAAAAGAGGGAGGTGGGCTTCTTCCACTGTGCATGTTGCACTTTTTGAACCACGCACGCACGTTTGGAATCACCCTCTCACTCCACTCCCTTGTCTGTCACTTCCACCAGGTCGATGTCACCGAAGTGACGAAGGAAATCGACGAGGCGACAGGGGACCTCCGCCATCGCTACCTGGAGTGCGGAGGGGTGTTCGGTGGGGGGGTCGAAGGCACGTGGCTTTCGGCTTTCTTGGCGATCTACGGGCGCGGAGGGAGCAAACGCGTAAAGTTCCGGGGCATCGACAAAGACAGCAATCCAGTCACGCACACCTACACCATGCACGAGAAGCAAATCGACGGGCATGCATTCCGCAGCAACTACCCCGATTGCGAGCGGCTCTGCGCGCGGTTCGCGAGGAACACGATAAGCTTCCTGAAGTCGAGGATGCTGGACCTGAACAATCTCGCCCCGACGAAGCTCTTCCGCGTGTTGAAGTGGCCCCGGATGAAGCAGCAGAGAGAGAAGAAGCTGAAGGAGTACCTAAATGGCTGCAGTGCCCTTTTCGACAACAAGCTGTCAGGGTTTTCCTTGAAAGCTGCGCAGAAGGAGCTGGTTACGTGGGCGCCACTGATGCTGAGCCACCATGCCGAGGAGGGATTCCATCAAGGCCTGACGAACTACCTCGGCTCGACGGAGTCGACCTTGTGAGAGACTCCTGTTCGTAGGACTTCTGTTGCATGTTTTCTTGCTGGTTCTAAACTTCCCCACGGAAGTTGTTGTTTATCGCTTCTTGACTAGTCGCACTAATGCACTGGTCTTGTTCTTTCCCCCAACCCTTTTGGCAGGCGCAAGCCCAACCTCATGCGCTTGTGGCAAGCGTGCGCTGTCCTGCCGCTTAGCACAGTGGAGTGTGAACGAGGCTTCTCGCGGCAGAACGTCATCAAGTCATGGGTGCGGGGCTCGTTGTGCAATGCGCGCCTCAGCGAGCTGATGGTCATTTCCCTGCTGCAGTATGAGATTGACTGGGACAAGGCCCTTGGGTGTTGGCGCGAGAAGCTCAGGCGCCCTGCTAAGTCTGTTCTGTTTGCCTCAGCGGAGAGGAAGCGCAAGGCCAAGGCGATTGAGGGGGCAGAAGAGAGGGTGGAGGAGGAGGCAGTCCCCGACTACATGGGGGATTGGGAAGAGGATGAGGGAGAGGAGGGGGTAGAGGGGGGAGAGGCACCGCCTGAAGTGGAAGACAACCCGTTTCTGTCCGATGACGAGGCAGAGGACGAAGTGAACGTGGATGGCCCAGAATTTTAGTTAAGTGTAGCTAGTGGCGTGGAATCTTGTAGACTATATAGACGACTGAATTGAATGTGTAGACTGGCGTAGTGGTAGACTGGTAGTAGATTCTGGCTAGTAACTAGCTGTACAATCGTAATGTTCTTTTAAACGATTTCTAGCAAGTGCAATGCAACCCTGTTTGTGGCCTGCCAACCCTAGAGGTTTCAGGGTTGAATGTTTCATAACACTGAGAAATCAGGGAAGCCAAAAATTCAGCACAAGGCCCTCAGGGTAATTTTTTTTTCCAATTCGACAGCTCAGGGTGCTTTTTTTTAAAACGTCAGCCCTGCTGATGAGTCAGGCTTGATCTTTTTTTGGCCTGTCAAAACATGCCCTGTCCAACATATGTACCGTAATCCCCCGTATAAAACACCCTATGGTGTTAATAAAAATGCAGCGAAATTTTGGGCTGGGTGTAATTAAAGGCAAAAAAAATAAAACACCCAGGAGTTATGGAATGTGCATATGCATTTTTTTTATTGGAATTCAAGTGTGCATGTTTCACCACGTTCATTTGAGTCAGATACCCACTTTTGGTCATCTCATTGCATACCGGCCGATATTGCCCATCTGCATGCCACATTGGCACTGCGCGTGCAGTGTCAGAGAGGATGCTGCCAGAACAACCAATCGGCACACGTTTGATTTGGCGCGACACGCGAAAGTCGAGTACAGTATCAACCTTTCAGATTTCAATGTTCTCGGTGCCTTTGTTTTCGTTCGGGCAGATTCGTCTCCTACCTAAATACCCGCGTCGCGATGGCCACGAGCTCGTTTTCCCCACTTGCTTTGACGTGCATACGGTTGCCCCAGCAGGAGTGGAAAAAAACGAATGGTTGGACACATCTATGCACTGCAAAATTCTAGTGTTTCCTGCTAAAAATGCAGATTCTAGGTGGCAGGGGGGTGTTCAAAAGTTTTCACGTCCGAAAGTAGGGTGTTGTCTATATCCAGAAAAATTAAACACCCATACCCGCTCAAGCTACCCGGGGGAGCTTAATTCCGGCGGGTGTTTTATACGGGGGATTACGGTATGTGCTAGGTTAAAATCCTACCCGCCCTACAAAATCGCCAAGGTTCAACCCTATCATCTCAGCTCTGAAAAAAAAAACAGTCCTGATCATTCAGCCTTCGAAAAAAATTACCCTGAAAAAATCTCAACTTCCAAAACCCGACCCTGAAAAACGGGGGCTCCTGCTGGGGGCACCCTGAGCCAAGGGCCCCTCAAAATCCAATCTGAAGCCCTGGTTAGTATCTCGTCGTGACTCACCTCGATCAAAAGTGGTGATGCATGCTAAGAAATGGTGGAGCGGTATGTACAGTACAGTGGGAAGAGAATGGCTGGCCCTCCAAAGGAGTGGGTCGTCCTTCAGGCTTGAGTCAAGAGGGCAAGTCAGAGAGCTCAAGCCGTGTCATGTGCTGAGGATGTGAAAGAATCAAGGCTCGGGCTGAGAGGGGCCTGAGAGCTGCTGCAGCTGAAACACCTTGGTCTGCTCCTTGAGCTGTGTTGGGGAGAGAAAGGGAGAGGAAAGAAGGGTGGGTGGGAGAGAGAAATGGGAAGTGAAGAAGGAATGGCAGGAGGTGCACTGGGCAAAAAGAATTACACACAAGCTGGTAGCTGCAATTGGCTGCTGCTAAGTGCTGGCTGCAATTCGCTGCTGCTAAGTACCCACAATTCAATGCTCAGCTAAGCACCCATGATTCAATGCTCAGCTAAGCACCCCAACTAAGAGTCACTCACAGAGGCTTCTGCGAGGCGGTCGCTGTTGCCACATGCCGCATCAAGAGCCGCCTTGGTAGAGGTGAGATGGTCTGCTATGGACGCCACGAGGCAGGCTACCTCAGGCACCTGACGGCATGGGAAGGAGGGGAGGAGGGGTTTGGGTGTGTGCGTTGATGTATTGCTTAGCAGGGAGGGACACGCGCACAGCATTGAGCATGCAGCATCAAGTAGCATCCGAGTGGCACCAGTGCCACCTTGGCAGAGGTGAGATGGCCCGCTATGGATGTCACGAGGCACGCCACCTCAGGCACCTGATGGCATGAGAAGGAGGCGAGGGGTAGAGGAGGGGAGGAGTAGATGAGGAGGGGGGGGGGGGAAGAGTGGGCGAAGCACATGCATTGAGCGTGCATCTTGAGGAGCCACCTTGGCAGAGGTGAGATGGTCGGCAATGGATGGCACGAGGCAGTCTACCTCACGCACCTGATGGGGAGGAAGGGAGGCGAGGAGTAGAGGACGGAGGAGAAGGGGGGAAGGGGGGAGTGGATGAGGTACGTGACTTGAGTGTGCCGCATCAACCACTGCCTTGCTTTTGAGTCGACTCAAAGTGTAATGAGTCTGCTGTTGATTCGACTCAAAGTGTAATGAGTCTGCTTTTGAGTCGACTCAAAGTGTAATGAGTCTGCTTTTGAGTCGACTCAAAGTGTAATGAGTCTGCTTTTGAGTCGACTCAAAGTGTAATGAGTCTGCTGTTGATTCGACTCAAAGTGTAATGAGTCTGCTTTTGAGTCGACTCAAAGTGTAATGAGTCTGCTGTTGATTCGACTCAAAGTGTAATGAGTCTGCTGTTGATTCGACTCAAAGTGTAATGAGTCTGCTTTTGAGTCGACTCAAAGTGTAATGAGTCTGCTGTTGATTCGACTCAAAGTGTAATGAGTCTGCTTTTGAGTAGACTCAAAGTGTAATGAGTCTGCTGTTGATTCGACTCAAAGTGTAATGAGTCTGCTTTTGAGTCGACTCAAAGTGTAATGAGTCTGCTTTTGAGTCGACTCAAAAGGGGAAGGGGGAGTGGATGAGGTACGTGACTTGAGTCTGCCGCATCAACCACTGCCTTGGCCGAGGCGCAATGGTCAGCTATGGATGGCACGAGGCAGACTACTCCAGGCACCTGATGGCACGCAAAACAACGCTGCGGAGAACTTGTGCTTCAGCGCACGGTGGTTGGCTTAACAACACAGCTGTATGTACCGCAGAGTACCTGAAAATAGGCCGGCAGCACCTGGCGTGACTCAAAGGCCACCTCAACAGTACTGGTGTGTGTACTGCAACGCACCTGAGAGAGGCCATCAGCACTGGGCTGCATGGTGCTGAGCAGGTCGTGAAGGGCGTCCAGGTGCTCCTTGAGCCGCGCTGGGTTCACCTGGCAAGTGTGGGATGGGATGGGATGGGATGGGATGGGATGGGCATGGGCATGGGCATGGAATGGCTCTAAGCAAAGATTGTGTGGCACTGAGCTGCTTGTATGAGGTCTAACATATGGGATGTGCAATGCAGGGTCATGCGACATGGGATGTGCGAATACATTGTACAGTGTCCACCAGTCGTTAAGGCACGCTGCATTCACCTGGCGTGGGCATGGTAAGAGGCACGGGGCATGGTAAGAGGCACGGGGCATGCTAAGAGGCACGGGGCATGGTAAGAGGCACGGGGCATGCTAAGAGGCACGGGGCATGGTAAGAGGCAAGGAGCATGGTAACAGGCACGGGGCATGGTAAGAGGCACGGGGCATGGTAAAAGGCATGGGGCATGGTAAGAGGCACGGGGCATGGTAAAAGGCACGGGGCATGGTAAGAGGCACAGGGCATGTCAAGAGGCACGGAGCATGGTAAGAGGCACGGGATGGGACGGGGTGGGATGCGACGGGATGGGATGGGGCATGGGATGGGCATTGGATGGACATGGGATGGACATGGGATGGACATGGGATGGGCATGGGATGGACATGGGATGGACAGGGGATGGACATGGGATGGACACGGGATGGACATGGGATGGACATGGGATGGACACGGGATGGACATGGGATGGACATGGGATGGACATGGGATGGACATGGGATGGGCATGGGATGGACATGGGATGGACATGGGATGGGCATGGGATGGGCATGGGATGGACATGGGATGGGCATGGGATGGACATGGGATGGACACGGGATGGACATGGGATGGACACGGGATGGGCATGGGATGGACATGGGATGGGCATGGGATGGACATGGGATGGGCATGGGATGGACATGGGATGGGCATGGGATGGACATGGGATGGGCATGGGATGGACATGGGATGGACATGGGATGGACATGGGATGGACATGGGATGGACATGGGATGGACATGGGATGGACATGGGATGGCCATGGGATGGACATTGGATGGACATGGGATGGACATGGGATGGCCATGGGATGGCCATGGGATGGACATGGGATGGACATGGGATGGACATTGAGTAAAGGGTTGCTTGGGCTGGCAAGCTCGTGCACGGGGTTACAATCATGGATGACACACCGTGCTGGAGGGGCGTATGGGCAGAATCACAAGGTAGTCTGACAGCGCTTGAATGGAGCTCCTCAGAGCCAGGCTGTAATGGCTGCGCTGCTCCTGCTCCTGCTCCGCCTTCAGAAATGCTTAAGTACCCTGGTCCCCCACTCACTCACCGTGCTGGAGGGGCGTATGGGCAGCTTCACCAGGGAGTCTGACAGCGCCTGAATGGTGCTCCTCAACGCCAGGCTGTGCTGGCTGCGCTGCTGCTGCTGCTGCTGCAGCAGCGGCCTCACTCCCTGGTCGCTGAGCAGCAGGCGCACCCTCTCCTGCAGCTGCTGCCGCTGCTGCTGCACCTGCTGCCGGTGGTGCTCCCGCTGCAGACACGAGCAGAAGTGCCATGCTGCTGCCAGGGCAGCCTGGAGGAAAGGGGAGGGGGGAGGTGAGGGGGGAGGGGAGGGGGGAGGTGAGGGGGAGGGGAGGGGGGAGGGGAGGGGGGAGGGGAGGGGGGAGGGGAGGGGGGAGGGGAGGGGGGAGGGGAGGGGGGAGGGGAGGGGGAGGGGAGGGGGAGGGAAGGGGGAGGGGAGGGGGGAGGTGAGGGGGGAGGTGAGGGGGAGGGGAGGGGGGAGGGGAGGGGGAGGGAAACGAGGGGCAAAAGTCTGAAGAGCAGTTTGCCAGCGGCTGCTGCACCTGCTGCCGGTGGTGCTCCCCCTGCAGGCGCGAGCAGTAGCTCCATGCTGCTGCCAGGGCAGCCTGGAGCAAAGGGGAAGGGGGAGGGAAGGAGGGAGGGCGAGGAATGAGTAATGATGCAAGTAGTCTGCTGCTGCTGCTGCTGCTGCTGGTTCCCCCCCTGCAGCCGCGAGCATCCATGGTGCTGCCAACGCGCCCTGGGGAAGTGGGGGGGAGGAGTGGTGCATGGTGGGGAACAGAAGGAATCGGGATGGTTAGATGCTCATTCGCCAGCAACTGCTGCGAACTGGGGACGTGGGGAGAGCATCAGCACAGCTGCACCTCCTGTCACCTCACGATCGCCCCTCCCTTCTCTCCCGCCTTGTCACGCCTACTCGCCCCTCCCATGACTCTAGAGGCGCAAAAGCCTATGAGGCCGAGCCTAAAAGCACAAGAGGTCACCATCATGAACCCTAAACCCGAACCCTAAACCTTGAACCCTGCCCCTGCTCTCTCACCATGTTCCGCCTATTCTCCTCCTCCGCCTGCTCCTGCTGAAGGATCAGCGTCGCCAGCAGCTCCACCCTTCTGTGGTTCACAAGCGCATATCCTTACCTTGCTCTTCTCTACTCGCCACTCACCATGTTCCGCCTGTTCTCCTCCTCCGCCTGCTCCTGCTGAAGGATCAGCATCGCCCGCAGCTGCATCTCTCTGTTCGCCACAAGCGATGCTTGAGCCGACCACGGCACCCCAGACATTTCCTCCATCAACACAGCCACGGCTGGCGGCATGCCCCCCCTCATCCCATGGCCCCTCTCGCCGCTCTCGCCCTTCTCCGAACCTAGAGAGCTCGAAGCTACCAGATCCGAGTCTCCATCGCTGTGCACCGAGCCTGCGTGGTTCTGCACAGAGCCCGGTACCGAGCCTGTAACCGAGCCTGTGTGGCTGTGTGCCGAGCCTTGGGACCTGCTAAGTTCGATTCCGGCAGACTCTGGTGCAGATGTTGCCAGGCTTGCTCCAGAATGCCCAGGCGCGCTCCTGCTGCTGCTACCGCTGGTCACACTGTCGCTCCACTCCAAGTCAGCACCATCCGACGTCTCTGCCATGGGACCAGCCCCTCCTGCCGCACCAGCATCCCCAATACCCCCTGCCGCACCAGCAGCACCAGCACCAGCAGCACCAGCACCAGCAGCACTAGCACCAGCAGCACCAGCACCAGCAGCACTAGCACCAGCAGCACTAGCACCAGCAGCACTAGCACCAGCAGCACTAGCACCAGCAGCACTAGCACCAGCAGCACCAGCACCAGCAGCACCAGCACCAGCAGCACTAGCACCAGCAGCACCAGCACCAGCAGCACTAGCACCAGCAGCACCAGCACCAGCAGCACTAGCACCAGCAGCACTAGCACCAGCAGCACTAGCACCAGCAGCACTAGCACCAGCAGCACTAGCACCAGCAGCACCAGCACCAGCAGCACTAGCACCAGCAGCACTAGCACCAGCAGCACTAGCACCAGCAGCACCAGCACCAGCAGCACTAGCACCAGCAGCACCAGCACCAGCAGCACTAGCACCAGCAGCACTAGCACTAGCAGCACTAGCACCAGCAGCACTAGCACCAGCAGCACTAGCACCAGCAGCACTAGCACCAGCAGCTCTAGCACCAGCAGCACCAGCACCAGCAGCACCAGCACCAGCAGCTCTAGCACCAGCAGCACTAGCACCAGCAGCACTAGCACCAGCAGCATTAGCACCAGCAGCTCCAGCACCAGCAGTACTATAACCAGCAGCATCTCTCCCAGCAGCCCCAGTTTCCAGCCTGAGCTCGTCCCGTCTCGCTTCTGCCCCGCCTCCCACATATGAGTCGCCCCCTGATTCAGGCACACTTGCCATTGCTGCATCCTCTGGCTCCTTTCTCAGCAGCAAGCCTTGCCTCGGCAGCACGTCTTGGCTCGGCAACACGTCTCGGCTCGGCAGCTCGTCTTGGCTCGGCAGCACGTCTTGGCTCGGCAGCACGTCTTGGCTCAGCAGCACGCCTTGGCTCGGCAGCACGCCTTGGCTCGGCAGCACGCCTTGGCTCGGCAGCACGCCTTGGCTCGGCAGCAAGGCTTCATTGTGAGCCTCACTGCCTCCACTACCCACAGCTCCCACTTCTTCCACTGCTTCCAACAGCACAGCAGCACCACTGCCATCACTATACGCACAGCCTGGCTCCCTTTCTGCGTGCTCCCCAGCCACATGCAACAACTCTAACGCAGACGATTCACCCCCTAGAACAGCACCTTTCTGCTCCCCCCTGGCAACGCTGCTAGCCCCCTCCGCTCCTCGATATTCCTCCGGCCCTCGATATTCCTCCACCCCTCGATATTCCTCCACCCCTCGACCTTCCTCCACCCCTCGACCTTCCTCCACCCCTCGATCTTCCTCCTCCCCTCGATCTTCCTCCCCCCCTCGATCTTCCTCCCCCCTCGATCTCCCTCCTCCCCTCGATCCTCCTCCTCCCTCTCTCCTCCAGATGCATCCTCGCCACCTGCTGTTCCCGCCACGTCAGCAGCCAGGATCGCTGACACAGCTGCCGTCCCTGCTGCCAGCTCAGCACCTTCCAACATCTCATCTGACGGCGCAAGATTCAGGCTTCTATATCCAGGGGTAATTCCCCTACCACCTCCTCTACCCTCTCCTCTATCCCCTCGTCTCACCTCCCCCGTCGCCACACTTCTCCCATCTCCTTTCCCCCCTGGTACCATCGCCCTTCTCCCCTCTCTCCCGACAGTAGCCATTCCCACTCTCCCTTCTGCCATCGGAGTCTGGTATTGCGGGCCTGCCAATCCTCCCCTCCCTCCTCCTCCTCCTCCCCCTCCTCCCCCTCCTCCCCCTCCTCTCCCTCCTCCCCCTTCTCCCTTGGGAGTCTGGTATTGACTCGCTGCACTCCCTCCTCGCCCTTTGGCCATCGGAGTCTGATACTGGAGCCCTTCCAATCCTCCTCTCCCTGCTATTCTCGAGGTCCCCTTCACAGCGCTTGCCGCACTGACAGTCGCCTCAGAATGCCTCCGCGGAGTGCCGCTCACCGCACTGGAGGGCGCGCGGAAGGCCGCTCCGCGTGCTCCGCCTGCTCCTCCCGCTCCGCCTGCGCCTCCTCTCGCGCCACTGGTTCCGCCAACGAGTCCGGAAGCTGCTCCGCCGCCTCGCCCGCTGGCTCCCCCCGCGCGGGATACGGCGGGGGTCTGCGCGGAGGTGAGGCTCATGCTTGCGCGGGCGGAGATTCGGCCGGTGACGCCGCTAGCGCCGCCTCTGACGGCGCTTTTCGCGGCGGACGATGGTGCGTGCATGGCGGAGAGGCGCGGATCGGGAGTCGGGATCATGGAACCTTCGCGACGCGAAGCTGGGGCCTGAGCGGCCGGTTGCATAAAGCGGGATGCGACTGTAACGCGAATGGAAGGGGGAGCAGTGAGAGGAAGGGAAAGGGAGAATTGTGCGTTAGATTGAGAATTTCAAAAGTAGATTCGATTCAGATTCACGCATGTCGGAATCTGGTTTCATGTGAAATGTGACGCACGGGAAACTACTCGAAATCGCAACGACGCTTTCGCCTTGTAACGAAACTTAGAACCATATCGTCTTATCCCTGAAGTGAGTATGTGAAGGCGCTCAAGAGGCCTTCGAACATGTTTCAGTGGCGAAACAGGAATACGCAGTGATTACGCAGGAATTCGTCTCATCACGTAGTAATTACGTGAAAACGTTCAACCGGCCTTCGAGCATTATTGTTCCACAGGAGCACTGGCCAAATGTGGAATAGCACATCGCCTCATCTGCCAGTCTAGTCAGCGTATCCGTGATCCCTTCGCCCGTACACTAGGCATACCAGTGATTCCTGCCGGCTTTTTAGGAGCAGGAACCTTGAAGTCGGTGCTCGAATCGGTCGGCTGACCAGGAGGCGGATCCATGGCGCGACGAGAAACTGAGAAGCCAAGAGAAAACGCTGTGAAAGTCTCGAGGAAACGATGTGAAAGTCTTGAGAGAAGGTGGGAAAATACAGGAAGTGCTGGTAGCCGAGCGCCAAGCGGGCCAAGCTCAAGCAGCCAGGCTAAGTGCTAGACGACAGGCTGGGGAATCTCGAAGTCAGACTTTCCCGCCAAAAATCGAACCTAAATTTGGGAGCTCCTGGGGCCAACAAATTTCAAGGGCGACATTTCCCAAGGCCAGCGAATACGCGTTTGTAACGCCCTCACTCGCATCTCCAAAACATTTCAGTTGAACGTAGAGAATCACGATTGGAGACTAGAAGCAAGAATAACGATACCTCCATTCACACATTCACACGCACATGCACACATACCTAACATAAACATCTATTCGTGCCATTATATGGCATACTAATCAACAAACATGCGCGCGGAAATACTAATGCAAAAAACATATCGTAGCCACAATTAGACACATTTATCATGCGGCCAATAGTAATAATAAAAATATTGCTATTGCCACAATTTGACACATTTATCATGGCTCGCCGACGCAACGAGCCCACGCGCATGGGAATGTGCGAGCGCTGCAATAAGCCCATCGTGAGCCCCTTGCACGATCATGCTCTTGTTCTCCACCATGTTCCACAGCTCCAATGACTGCAGTGAGAGGTAGGGTGGGAGTAGGCACAAATGCTAAGATTAACCAGGTGTACCCATCAAAACTGGCAGCTCTAGGGCGTTCCTCCTCTCCACTCCAGCATGTTCCACAGCTCCGATGGCTGCAATCGGAAGAATGCGGTGAGGCAGCGGGGAGTAGAGAGAAGGGGAGAGAGGGCAGTGCTGCGACTGACTCACCAGCCCCACCACACCCACACATACACCCACACGCACACGTACACCCACACGCACACATACACCCACACACACACATACACCCACACGCACACATACACCCACACGCACACCCACACCAACACCCACACCCACACCCACACCCACACATACACCCACACCCACACCCACAACCGCACCCACACCCACACCCACACCCACACCCACACTCACACCCACACCCACACCCACACCCACACCCACACCCACACCCACACCCACACTCACACCCACACCCACACCAACACCCACACCCACACCCACACCCACACATACACCCACACCCACACCCACAACCGCACCCACACCCACACCCACGCCCACACCCACACTCACACCCACACCCACACCCACACCCACACCCACACCCCAAAACTAAACTCTTCTTCCAACACCCTCTGACCTGGCAGCAGCCGATGACGAGCAGCGAGAGGCATTTGGGGAGGAAGGTGCACGAGCGGCAAGTACAAGACTCCTGTGTGAACCCCCACAAATGTGCATGTGTGCGTGCACACACACACACACACACGCGCGCGCACACACACACACACACACACACACACACCCACACCCACACCCACACACCCACCCACCCACATGCCCCACACCCACGTTCTCACCTGGTAGCAGCCGATGACGAGCAGCGAAGGGTACTTGGGGTGGAAGGTGCACGAGTGGAACTTGTTGCCGCTGCTGATCAGCTCATGCACGCACTCGCCCCCGTTGCCCGGCCCCAGCGCGTACACGCGCACCGCGTCCTCTGACACCGAGGCAATGAACTCCCCTGTGGCGTCCCAGCACACTGAGTGCACTGGCTTGCTGTGCCGTTGCTGGTGACAACAGAGGAGACGAGGAGGAGGGGGGGGGGGGGGAGGAGGGAAGGAGTCAAGGGGATAGGAGGGGGACGAGATGAACTCCCCTGTTGCGTCCCAGCACACTGAGCATACCGGCTTGCTGTGCCGTTGCTGGTGACAGGAGCAAGGAGAGGAGGGGAGGAGGAGAAAAGACGACCGTTTGAGAGCTAACTGCCGTACTCAGAAAAAAAAAACAGAACAAAGAGAGTATTGTCAGCAATTTTCCGCCAAGTTTTCGGATTTAACCCAAGAAGTCACAAATCGAGGTTGGCGAAGTCCCTCATGATGTAGGTGATTTTTGAAAGTTTTCATAAATTAACCAAGGGGTCCTGTCAGCAGTTGATCGACAAAAAGAAAGAAAGCAAAAACCTCCAGTTTCTCACCTCCAGAGGGCGCAGGCACGCCTCTGTCTCCACATCGAAGATGGAAGCAACCGACTCTTGGATGACCAAGAACAGCACTTCGAGCACTAGCACCTCACAAGCAACGAGCTCACCTCCAGTGTGCGCAGGCAGGCCTCTGTCTCCACATCGAAGATGGAAACAACCGACTCTGCTGCTGCTGCCAGTAGCCGGCCCACCCGCGGCTGGAAGCGAACCTGGGTGGTGGCGCCCTGGGGATGGGAAGGGAGTTGGGGAGAAGGGGGGGGGGGGGAGGGGGAAGCAGGCATGTGAAGCTGAGTAACAGACACAGCCAGCTCTGCCACTGCTGCCAGCAGCAGCCGGCCCACCCGTGGCTGGAAGCGAACCTGAGTGGTGGCGCAATGAGGAATGGTTGAACCTGGAGAATTTTGTTCACCTGAACAGAGGTTCCTTGGTAGGTAGAACATGGTATCGAACACGGGGAAGTGGGAGGTGCCCTCGAACAAAAGTAGTGGATAGTGGGAGGTGCCCTCGGGAGGTGCACCTGTATGATCCAGTAGTGGCAGCAACAAGAATAAAAGTCTGAGTCAATTACCTACCTTGAACACTCGGGTGCACATCTCCTGGTTCACACTCCAGTAGCAGATCTCCCCATCAGCATCACAGAAGCTCACACACGAACACATGCCAGTGCCCCCCCCTTTTCAGACACACTAGTGCAGTGCAGAGCAGCTCACCTTGAACACTCGGGTGCACATCTCCTGGTTGACACTCCAGTAGCGGATCTCCCCGTCAGCGTCGCACGAGCACAGAAGGTCCTCGTCCTCGGGGTGGAAGTCAAGCGATACGACCGAGGTCATGTGGCCGGCTAGCGTGCGCAGAGGAAAGGACGGCTGCAAAGGGGGAGAAAGGGGGGGAGGGGGGATGGAAGGGAAAAGGGAAGATGGGCAATCAGCATCACACGAGCACAGGAGGTCCTCGTCCTCGGGGTGACAATCGAGCGATCCCACCGAGGTCATGTGGCCGGCTAGCGTGCGCAGAGGGAAGGACGGCTGCATAGGGGGGGAAGAGGGGATGGAGTGGGGATGGAAGGGAAAAGGGAAAAGGGACAAGGGACAAGGGACAAGGGACAGTTAACATCACACGAGCACAGCAGGTGCTCGTCCTCGGAGTGGAAGTCGAGCGATACCACCAAGGTCATGTGGCCTGCTAGCGTGCGCAGAGGGAAGGACGGCTGGAGGAGAGAGTGGGGACAGAAGCGGGTAGAAGGGGGTCCAAGGGATGGTGAACGAAGGGGTAGTGGACAGTCAGTGTCACAGGCGCACAGCAGCTGCTCGTCCTCTGGGTGAGAACGGAGAGAGACAACGGATGCCGTCCGGCCTGCAAGCGTGCGCAGAGGGAAGGACCGCTGGAGAAAAGGGAGAGGGATAGAAGGGGAATGAGGAATCAAGAATGAGGAATTAAGAATGAGAAATTAAGAATGAGGAATTAAGAATGAGGAATCAAGAATGAGGAATTAAGAATGAGGAAGAATGAGGAATTAAGAATGAGGAATCAAGAATGAGGAATCAAGAATGAGGAATTAAGAATGAGGAATTAAGAATGAGGAATTAAGAATGAGCAATAGGAAGTAGGAATCCTGGCGGCGCAAGCGGAAAACGTGTTCAATGTGTTCAATCTTTAACTCCTATGGCTTGCGACACACAACCACCAACCCCTACCGAAGAGTCTTATGACATAATAAACCCCTAAACCCTATACCCTCACATTGTCAATGTCCCACACGCGCACGGTCTTGTCAAAAGACGATGTGGCGACACGTGGCAGGCTGGGGCTGAACCGCACGTCCGTGATGAGCAGCGAGTGGCCCTCCAGCGTTGCCCGCATGGAGAGAGAATCCATCTCCCACAGCACGGCCTGCAAGGGGAAGACGGGGAGGGGGGGTGAGGGAGGAAGAGGCCAGAGGGGGTGGGGGGATAAGGCTGAAACTGACGTCAGCAATGAGCAGAGAATGGCCCTCCAGCGTTGCCCACATGCAGAGGGAGCGGAATCAGTTTCTGCTCTCCCTCCCTCTCCATGCGGGCAACGCTGGAGGGCCATTCCTCTCCATAACATAGAAGAGGAATGGAAGGTAGGCAGGGGAGTGTGGGGAGAGCCGAATGGAGGAAATTGCTCTTCCTGGGAGGGGAACTGGGTACAAGAGATGGCGCACTGCTGGTCAGGGCTGGGCATGCCAAGACGGAACTCACTGACCTATCGTAACCCATCTGCACTCACCGTCTTGTCGTGCCCGGCACTGGCCAGCAGTTTGTCATCCTGGGGGATACGACTGGCATGCACAGTGTCATCATGGCTGGCCAGCATTGTTTGTCTCGTAGCTGCACACTCACCGTCTTGTCGTGGCCAGCGCTGGCCAGCAGTTTGCCGTCCTGGGAGAAGTGGCAGCACACCACCTTGGTGGAGCTGGCCCTCAGACAGCCGTACTCCGTGAAAGAGAAGCCTGCAGGGGGAGGGGGGAACGGGTGGGGGGGATGCATTGGGATGACGAGCAAGCGGGGAGCATGGAGTGGCAGCACACCACCTTGGTGGAGCTGGCCCTCAGACAGCCGTACTCCGTGAAAGAGAAGCCTGCAGGAGAGACAGGGAGGAAGGGGGTGGGGGGTGATGCATTGCGATGGGAAATCATGGGAAAGGTCAGTGCAATGGAGGAAGCAGGTCGGTGCAATAGAGGAAGCAGGTCGGTGCAATGGAGGAAGCAGGTCGGTGCAATGGAGGAAGCAGGTCGGTGCAATGGAGGAAGCAGGTCGGTTAAGCAAGCTGCTCTCACCTTTCCCATCCATGCTGCCCATGCTGCTCCTCTTCCCCATACAAAAGAGCGGCCCCCTGCCATTGGCGTCGTCCGTGGAGAGGAAAGAGTCCACGTTGTCGTCCAGCGACCCATCATCGCCCACCCCTCTGGATCACAAGCTCACACCCACCTCCTCCCCCCACCCCCCCCCCCCTCCTCCTCCCCCACCTCTCACCTTTCCCATCCATGCTGCCCATGCTGCTCCTCTTCTTTTAAGGTGCCTCAAAACTCAAAACTAGAATTTTGAGGCGCCTCAAACCTAGACTCCAATCACCCACCTCTCACCTTTCCCATCCATGCTGCCCATGCTGCTCCTCTTCCCCGTGCAGAACAGCGGCTCCCTGCCATCGCCATCGTCCGTGGACAGGAAAGAGTCCACGTTGTCGTCCAGCGACCCATCATCGCCCACCCCAAACCGGTCCAGCTCCACTAGTTGATTCCCTGGGGAGGGCTCGCCTGAGAGGGTCCCCTCCATGCCGAAACTCGTGGGCAGAGGGGGGACTAGCGGGGGAGGTAGCATCTGGGGGAGGGAGGATCCTAGCTGGGGGCTCTGCTGCTGGTGCTGTTGCTGCTGTTGCTGCTGCTGTTGCTGCTGCTGCTGCTGTTCCTCCTGCTGCTTCTGCTGTTCGGCCGTAGCTTGCTGCTGCTGCTGCTGCTCCGGCTGTGTCTGCGTGTGAGGCTCTGTCTTCACAGGCCCTCCCGGACCTGCTGCTGTCCCCCCATCTCCAGCACCAGCACCAGTGCCACCACCACCAGCGGCGGCAGCAGCAGCAGCCCCCCCACCACCACCCCCTGTACCACCAGCACCACCAGCGGCAGCACCAGCAGTACCACCACCACCACCAGGAGCGGGGGCAGCAGCGGTGCCAGTGGTGCCGTTGCTAGTGGCAGGGCCTGATGACCCCGGCTGCTTCCGCTTCCGCCCTAGCCTTCCCCCCCTCTGCTTGCCCCAAGGGTCGCAACAGAGAAACAGGAGAGCAGCAGTCTTTAAAAATAGCAGTGGCACAGCAATAGCAGTGAAAGCATTCAAGGGGAAGACAGGGTTTAGGGTTTAGCAGAAAACAGCGAACAAGGCAAACACAAATTGACGACAGAGCAGCAACGAAAACAAACCCCGGAATTACCTTGGTGGCAGTGCCTGTGCTCGTGATGCTGGGCGCAGGCTCCATGCAACTCATTGGGGTCACGGTGTGTGTGTGTGTGTGTGTGTGTGTGTGTGTGTGTGTGTGCGCGTGCAGTTTGCGTCCATTCAAACCCTCATGTAAACCCTACAGCACCAACCCTCATGTAAACCCTACAGCACCAACCCTCATGTAAACCCTACAGCACCAACCCTCATGTAAACCCTACAGCACCAACCCTCATGTAAACCCTAAAGCACCAACCCTCATGTACCTTGGTCCTTGGTGACAGTGCCTGTGCTAGTGGTGCTGGGGGGCGGCTTCATTCCACTCGTTGAGCTCAAAGCGTGTGTGCTGTGCACATCTATTCCATTCTGTAATCCCTAAAGCACCAACCCTCGTGTCGTGTACCTTGGTGATGGTGCCTGTGCTCGTGATGCTGGGCGCTGGCTCCATGCCACTCATAGAGCTCTGCTCCCCTGCTGCTGTTGTGCCACCACCCCCTCCCCCTCCGCTCCCTCCAGCAGCACCACCACCACCGGCGCCACCAGCAGCAGCAGCAGCACCAGCTGCAGAACTAGGCGCACCCATCTGCTGCTGCTGCTGATCCTGTGGCCCCTGCATGCCCCCCTGCATGCCACCCTGCATCCCCTCATGTCCCTGCTGCTGCTGCCCTGCTCCTCTCACTTGTCCGCTTATGCTGCCCTGCCTCCCCATCCCCCCCTGCTGCCCCTCCTGCTGCATGTGCTGCCCTGGCGCACCCATCACCTGCTGCTGCTGTTGCTGCTGTTGCTGAGGCAACTGCTGCTGCTGTTGTTGTTGCTGCTGCTGCTGCAGTAGCAGTTGCTGGTGCTGCTGCAGCAGCAGCAGCTGCTCCTGCTTCACCTGTGCGCCCATCAGCCCGCCCATGGCACCCTGAGCCGCCCGCGCACGCTGCGCTTGCAACTGAGGGAAGAGAAGAGTGCGGAAAAACAGTGGAAATTGGAGAGGAAAATGCAATTCAACACAAGGTGACCCCTAGGCGAGCCCACACCAGGCGAGCCCACACTAGGTGACCAGTTTTAGTACCAGTTTGAGTAGCCTCACAACTCACCTTGAGAATCATCTCCTGCTGCTCCTGAGGCGAGGCCCCTCGACTGAGAGCAGCCGCAGCCGCCACAGCAGCAGCAGCACCCGACGGCAGCATGCCAGCAGGCGACCCCACACTAGGCGACCCACCCCCATCCTCCCCTCCGCCCCTCACCCCAGCCGCCGCTGCTGCTGCCATAGCAGCCGCAGCAGCCACGCCTGGCCCCCCCGCAACCCCCTTGCTTAGCAACTGCCTAAGCTGCCGATTCTCTATCTCAGATGCCATCCCCGCCCCAAACCCCACTAAAGATGTCCCTCCTGCCGCCCGCCCGGGCAGATTGCCGCCCAAACCCGCCCCGCTGCTCGCCGCCCCTGCTCCCACTCCCCCCCCCGCTCCCCCTGCCCCGCCTGCCCCTGCTGCTCCTCCTGCGCCCCCCCCAGCGGCTGCTAGCCCTGCCAGCGCTCCTGCGTTGGTGATGAGCCCCTGAGCCTGCGCCTGTTGCAGCAGGTGCTGCTGCTGGAGGGGCGAGAGCATTTGATACTGCGGCGAGTTGAACAGACGTGTGATCTGAAGGGGCATGGATGGGTGTGGAGGGAGGGAGGGAGGGAAAGGGCAATGGTGATGAACCCCTGAGCCTGCGCCTGCTGCAGCAGGTGCTGCTGCTGTAGCGGCGAGAGCATTTGATACTGGGGCGAGTTGAAGAGACGTGCGATCTGAGGATGTAAATGGAGGTGGGGGGGCAGGGGTGGCGGGGACACGGGCCAGGGGGCGGGGAATGGGAGCAGGGGAAGAGGGGAAGCGGGCCCGGGGGCGGGGAATAAGAGCAGGGGAAGAGGGCCCGGGGTCGGGGAATGGGAGGAGAGGAGGGAGAGGAGATTTGACGCATGAGAGAGAGAGCATTTGGCACTGGAGCGAGTCGAAGAGACGAGCACACTACCTCTCTCAACCGCAATCTACCACTCGCAACTGCGTGCCACCGCTCTCTACCGTATGCAACCACTCTGAACCTCATGATTTAGGGGCTTACTGAGAGGCCTGCGGGCCAGTTGCCCTTCATCTGCTGCAGCTGAGCCGACCTGGCTGCTGATGATATGCCTGCCGTCCACAGACATGCCGAGGAGAGATAAGGGAGGGAGAAGGAAGGAGGGGGGGGGGAGGGGCGCGGGGGATATAAGGAGGAGAGAGGGAGAGAGTGTGTGTGAGTTGGAGGGAATGTGCACGGAAGACAGAGAAGGTAGAGAGTAGAGGCGGAGGGGGTAGAGGCCGAGGAGGTAATTGCACACACACACAAAGAGGAGCGGAGCAAAAAAGGTGACTTTTGAGGTGACTCTAAAGAAGTAACAAGGCAGCTGAGGGCAAGAGGACAAATCTCCTCTAGGTGGGCACCAAAAGGGGAAAAGGGAAAAAGGGAAAAAGGGAAAAAGGGAAAAAGGAAAAAAGGGAAAACGGGAAAAAGGGAAAAGGGGAAAAAGGGAAAAAGGGAAAAGGGGAAAAAGGGAAAAAGGGAAAAAGGGACCAAACAAACAACTGAAGCCACCTTGTGCCATGGACGCCAGTGCATTGTCTGATATGGCCGAACCAGCCCGCCCAGACATAACCGCATGCACGTCCGCCTTGCTTTCCTGCTCACACACCACACCACACCACACCACACCACACCACACCACACCACACCAGAGAGTAACCAGAGAGTACCGAGACTGATATCAGTAACTACAGCGCAACTAGACTAGCATCAACACGACCAAGACTGGGCGAGAGTCTTTGGAAAGCCTTGCTCAGTCATAACACGCCGAATCTATGCCACCATCCGCCTTGGTGTTGAGGACTGACCTGGCTCACGCTAGGGGATCCAGCTCCTGCTGGGGGCATCATCTGCTGCTGCAGCTGCTGTTGCTGCTGCTGTTGCTGTTGCTGCTGCTGTTGCTGTTGCTGCTGCTGCTGCTGCTCGTGTTCTTGCATCTGGTGCTGCTGCTGCAGTTGCTGCAGCTGCTGCTGCAGCTGCTGCAGAGGCAGCTGTGGCATGCCCTGAGACTGGGACTGTGACTGGGCCGGCTGCTGCTGCTGTTGACTCTGCTGCTGCTGCTGCTGCTGCTGCTGCTGCTGCTGCTGCTGCAAGTGCTGCTGCTGCAGGGACTGTTGGGACATGCCTGCTGCGTTGCCAGCGGTCGCCAGGTGCCTGCAAAGGCAGCAGCGGAGGGGAGGAGCTGAGAGGGTGGCTTGGGAGAGGAACGCTCAGGCTGACAGACAGGAGGATAGCAGAGAGGCTTTGACTAGATGCCAGCTCTATTGCTAGGGGCGGCGGGATAGAAGGGTGCAGAAAGAAGAGACGGGAGGGAAATGAAGGAGAGCTCCTGGTGAGATGAGGGGAGAAGGGTATGGATGTTGGACAGGGAACGAGGGTGGAGAAAGGAAGCAGGAAAGGGAAGGGGGGGGGCATATGTTTTTTCAGTCGACTCAAGGTGTATTTTGAGTCGACTCAAGGTGTATTTTGAGTCGACTCAAAATACACCAGGAGAAAGGTATGGATAGGGAACGAGGGTGGAGAAAGGAAGCAGGAAAGGGAAGCGGGGGACATACCTCTGCTTCGTGGAGGAGATTGTCAGTGGCGAGTCCATCACGTGCCATGCCATTCACACATGCCACACGCACACGCCACACACACATACCACATGCACATGCCACACGCACACGCCACACGCACATGCCACACGCACATGCCACATGCACATGCCACAGTTGTAAGGCACAAAAAGAGAAAGAGACAGTATGACAGAGCACATGAGGGGAGCATGAAACAAGCCATCTTTAGCAGGAGGGAAGGGGGGGGGGGAGGCAAGTTTCAACCTTAAGCATGCAACATCCCTGTGAGCGCTCTCCCTGAGGGCGGCCTCGTCCATGCCTCCTCCGCTCTCCCCTTGCGCCAGTTGCGCCTGCTTTAGACGCTCCTCATACAGCCGGCTCGCCAGCACGCCATTCGCTGCCTGCCTCAACCCCGCCTCCCTCCCCATGCATGCTGCCCCTGCCAAATTCCATCCCCCCATCACCATCGTGTGCCAGGTCACAGCCCAAACTCACTCGGACTCACTCCGGCCCTGCAAGTACCAGCTCAACTCACTATGGTACTTACCCTCATGCATCATGCAAAGTACCAGCTAACCTCACTATGCATCATGCATGGCACTCACCCTGAGGGCGGCCTCGTCCATGCCTCCGCTCTCCCCTCGCGCCAGCTGCGCCTGCTTCAGCCGCTCCTCGTACAGTCGGCTCGCCAGCACCCCACTCGCCGCCTGCCTCAACCCCGCCTCCCCTCCTCCCACCCCTCCCGCCACCCCTCCCACCCCTCCTCCAACCCCTCCTCCCACCCCTCCGCCCACTCCTCCCACTCCTCCGACCCCTCCTCCCGCTCCTCCTCCTGCCACGCCATTCGCAGCTCCGTTCCCCATCCCTGCCAGCTGCCCCGCCTCCCTCCGCTGCTGCTGCAGCTGCCGCTGCTGTAGCTGCATCTGCAGCTGTTGCAGTTGCTGCTGCTGCAACTGCTGCTGCTGCTGCTGCTGCTGCTGCTGCTGCTGCTGCTGCTGCTGCTGCTGCTGCTGCTGCTGCTGCTGCTGCTGCTGCTGCTTCTGCTGCTGCTGCTGCTGCTGCTGCTGCTGCTGCTGGGAGGGGGTTGCTGGTGGTGGCGGTGGCGGCGGGGGAGGTGCCTGTGACGACTGCTGCTGCTGTTGCTGTGGGGGCTGCATCTGTGCCTGCTGTTGCTGCTGCTGGTGCAGGTTCTGTGCTTGCGGCTGCTGCTGCATCCCAGAAAGCAACGACTGTGCGAGCTGCTGCTCATCCTGCTGCGTAGGATCCTCCCTCCCCTGCTGCTGCTGCTGCTGCTGCTGCTGCTGCTGGTTCAGCGCCTGCTGGGCTGCCTGCTGGGGAAGCTGCTGGGGGGGGGCGCCCAGCTCCTGCTTCAGCTGCTGCCTCTGCTGCGCCCTCTGCTGCCGCTGCAGCTCTCTCGCCTTGATCTGCTGGGTCTGGAAGCCGGGGAAACAGCAGGGGAAAACGAATATCTTGTGGGCGAATGTCGTGTGACAATAACGAGGTGACATTTGAGTCCACTCAAAAGTCACCTCTGCTGCCGCTGCAGATCCCGCGCCTCGATCTGCTGGGTCTGGAAGCTGGAGGAGTCTATTTTTGAGGCGCCTCAAAAATAGACTCCTCACGCATGGAAGCTGGGAACACAGCAGCGGGAAACGAATGTCTTGCTCACGAATGTCTGTTTGACGCGCCTCAAGCGTCGTCTCAGCTCTCTCGCCTTGATTGATGGGTCTGTCGGGACCTCGGGGATATGTTCGGTTAGAGTGAACGTCTGTACATTGTTGACAGCAGAAGGGGGTTGTGTCAGCAGAAGGGGGTTCGTCAGCAGAAGGGGGTTCGTCAGCAGAAGGGGGCTCGTCAACAGAAGGCGGATTCACTGACAGAGGGGGGAGAGTTCACAGTCAGGCGGAAAATGAAATCGTCCGGTGCAGTTTTCTTGTCTGATTCAAAGGTTACAATCATGATTGGCCATGGCCAGGGGGGGTAATTAATGAGGCATACCTCAATATAGGAGGCCGCGACTTCGGAATGCTTCTCATTGGTCCGTGCGATAAATATGTCCCAAAACACCGACCACCACTCAAAAAGGAAGCCTCCGGGAGCATTTATGGCTGTAACGAAGAGGGGGTTGGAAAGAGAAAGCGAAAAAGATGGAGAAAGAGAAAGAGTTAGCGAGAAAGAATGCAGCCAAGTGCAGCAAAACGCCCACGTTAGGCGAAAGCGAACATATTCCTTCCAGTAACAGATACCCAATGTTCCTTAATCCTTTCGCTGGTTGCAATGCAGTGCAAGATCAACGTGATTGGTAGGGTGACGGTTCATTTGAGGAGGAAAGGGAAGAGGACGAAAGGGAAGGAGGAAAGAGGAGTCATTCGGATGGCACATGACATTTAAAGCCAAGGTCCCAGGTTGCAAGGCGCGAGCCTTTTTGTTAACAAAAACGAAACGCGTCAGACCTGGTGTGCGAAAGCGGTAACCGAACGAGCCCCAGGGAATTTGCTGAATATGGCTGAGGGAGGGAATGCCCCTGGTTTGCAATTTGGGACCTGGGAACGCAAAATTTCCATTGGTCCACGAAGGTTCTCCCCCAAGTTTGCCGAAAACTCAAACCTCTGTATTTTCGCAACCACTCGGTTTGCCACCGGTCTCGTTCAATCCGCACACACTTTTTGCGGCTTGCAATTTGGGACCTGGGCTTTTTCAGAACCACAATTTTTTACTGCTTCAGAAGACTGCGGAAGGTGATAAGTGACAGTTAGGGTAAGAAGAGAATTAGACGAATGAGAAACGACGGCGGCGACGAGAAAAAGGAGGAGCCGTACCGACGGGGTCTGACGAGACCTTCGCCTCGGCGAGAAACGTCTCGGCGGATTTCGGGAGGCCTCGCTTGCAGAGGTAGTCGTAGATGTACACATCCAGCCTGAAATGGGGAATTAGGGATGCATTCGCAAGTTAACAACAATGAGGGAACGAGGCGGGAAATGGGGACACTCGTTGGCCGCTTCTGAAGCCTGGGTCGTTAATGTACGCGTCCAGCTTGGGTGCATTCGCGAGTTAACCCGAAAGGAAGAAGTAAACGTAAATAAGGAATACATTTTTTTAGAATTCTAGAAAATGACTCCACCGTAAGTAAGGAATACACGAGAAGGAAAATGGGAGTTTTGGATGGCTTTGTATGATGTCGGATTCGCAGATGCTCACCGTCCAGCAGGTGCATTAGCTAGAACGAGATTAGAGATCATAGGTGATGAGAAAATGAAATCAATTCAATTCATGACTCGAAGAGCGGATTCTCTACAGAATGGCGACCGGACGAGAAAACGAAATTCTGGTTCACACGCGACGAAAGCATTTCCCCGCACCGTGCTCAAGAAGATGTCAGGCAAGCGCATTAAGCGCAATGACGAGGAAAGGGACCGGCTGGTAACCTCCCGCCTACGAAACACCTGAGTTAACGGACACTTCTGGCAGACATTGCAATCTGGACACAAAGTCGTGGACCCTACAGTTATTAAAACACTAATTGTATACCCTACAGTGCATAAAACGTACATCTTGTCGGCCTCCCAGCTATTGTGTGCCATAATGGTTCGACGCGCCTACTATTCGCGACCCGGACTCCAACTTGCCACGTCAGCACCAGGGAGATATTCTTGCCGGAAAATCAGGCTCCTCTCACTCAGGCATGATCACATCACATTGCAACCAACCAACCCTGCCTCGCTAAAACCTGCGAAATCAAACATTCGCCACGAAGCGAGCAAACATTGAGCCGGAGTCGACGACAAGAGGCCAGCAGCATGCGCCGTCTATAAACAGAAACAGGAACAGACCCTCTCTCACAAACAGAAAAACCTTCCCAGCTTGAACTGCTCTGTTCTCCTAGCTGTCTTCACAATGGTAGCTTGACTTCCGCTCTATGGTTAGCTTGACCTCAACAGCACCGCCATTAGTGGGGGTTTTGGTTCGGTTTGGTTTGGTTTGGGGAGGGTGCCTGCCTGCTTGCCCTGCCCTACCGCCCGCCTGCGTGCTGGCCTCCTGCTCATTGGTGCTCATGCGGCCTGTCTGCTTGTCCGCCTTGCCCCCCTCCCCGCGCTGTACTTCCGCTTCCGCTCCCCTATTCATCATCTGCTGTCGGCGCTGACGCATCTGAGTGGTTGCCCTCCCTGGCCCCCACCTTTCTGCCTTCTGCACGTAGCCGGCCAATCCCTGCCCCTCAAAATCAGGCGGGCCAAGAAACTCACTCATCCCCTTCCGGCAGCGGTGCGTAGCCAAGGCTAGAGTTGCCCAGGTTCGGATTTCACCTTCTGCAACGAGCCAAGAATGTTCGCACACCGCACCTCTTTTCCACGCGTCAAGCGTGCGTATGGCCTTTCCCAAGCCTCGCGATTTCTTCCACAAACCAAACCTATGTGCATGTCGGGCAATCTGGTTCGACATAGACACCCATCAAAACGGTCGGGGGTGAACTCAGGTTTACTAGACCAGATTGCTTTCAAGTACTCAATAACCAATCTAGGAGTATAAGATGTTACAGTTACAAAACATTTGGCACTCTTTTGTGCCATTCGTGGCTTCAATTCGGCATGGTGGGATGAGAATGTAATACCATGCCCACGCCCACACCCACATAAACCTATTCTTTTCCATTAATGTACTACTGTATGTTCTGACGAGATCTAGTCCACATATGGTACTTACAACTCTTGGCATGTGACTAATATTGGGTAAGAGGAACCCGCTCCTCTTCCCCGAGCTCAACCTTGTCATCCGACGAGGGGTGGTGCCCATCATGGCGACCCGACTCCTTGAGCCCTTGGGCGTAATCCAGGTACGTGTTGAGGAAGAAGATCGGCACCAGCATCACAATGAAGATGTAGAGGAAGGCGGGCCGGATCTTCCCCGTGAACTGCACCAATGCACACAGAAGGAGCGGACCAGTTTGCCACGCGAAGTGCCGTAACAAGAAACGGCAAGCACAAATCATGCAAGGATCGAATGTGCTTGCTTGCTCATCGAGTAAGGTAGAAAGGAAGAAGAGAGGTGATCGAGTCCTAAGCAAAACAGGGGTAGGGAGGAAGAGAGAGTGAGAGCAGGGCTATTACACAGCCCGCCTTACCTGAGCAATGGCTGCCACAACGAACGGCCCGAGCCACGAGCTGCCCTTGTCACTGATCGCATAGAGCGAGAAGAAGGCACCCTCGCGGCCCTTGGGGATCAGATCCACAAAGAGCGTGCGCGAGTACGAGATGAGCGGGCCCAGGCAGAACCCAAACCACCCCGAGTACGCAAACAGCTCCCACGCAGCCTTCAGCCCGAGCCCGCCGTCCGGGGTAAAATACCCTAACAAGCCCCAGAGCGGCAGCGGCAGCATGGCAGACAGCAGCCCGACCACCATGGTCTTGTTGTTCCACCCCAGCCGCTTCTGCATGTAGTAAGCCAGTGGCATCCCGAGCGCGGCCCAGAAGGAGACGGAGGTGGCGATGACGGCCAGCATGGCGGGCTCCACGCACAGGTCGTGCTGCCCGAACAGCACCCCGACCTGCAGGCAAGTTGGGGGTTCAGGGTTCGGGGAACCAAGGGAATGGGAGTCCTTATGAGTTGAGCTCCTTATTGAAAACCGTGCTGGCTGAAGAGCATCCCGACCTTCAAGCAAGTTGATTAAAAACCGAGGGAATGGGAATCCATATGGGTTGAGGTCGTTAATGAAAACCCTCAGTCGAATGTGAACCTGCTGACAAGGTAAAAAAGCAGCTCGACGAAGAGGTGGAACTGGTCGAAGAAAAAGAGAGACCCGACTGCGTAGATGAAAGAAAGAAGTCGCACAGCATGAACACAAGGGAATTGCGGCATGAGTTGTCTCAACACGAGATGACCAAAACGAGAACGAAATCTCCAACACACGGACCTGGATGACGGTGGAGAAGCCGTCCGCGTAGATGAAGTAGCACAGCATGAACACAAACGCGTTGCGGTACCTCCGCGCCTCGGAGATCAGCGCGCCCATGTGCCGCCAGCTGGCAGCGATCGTCAGGCCGCCGTTCCCGCCGGCAGTGGCGGACGCGGGAGGCGGTGGGCCGGGGCGGGTGCGCAGCCAGAGGAAGGTGAAGACGGAGAAGACTAGCCACCAGAGCCCGCAGAAGGCCCCCGCCAGGCGCATCTTGAGCAGATCGGTTGTGGCAGCAAGGGTGATGACGAATGCTGCTAGTGTGGCGACGACATCTGCCAGGCAGCCCGCTGCGAGGCCGATGAGGGAGATACGGTTCTCCACCTGGGGGTGGTGGGATGGGCGGGGGGGGTGGGGAGAACGTTTCATTACAACCTGCAACGCAGCCGGAACCTAGCCTACGTGTGTTTGGGTGGGCTTCTACTTCACAAAGCACCCTGTACCAACCTACTCACCCCGTCGCCCCGGGCTTCTACTCACCCCGTCGCCCCTTACCCATGCCCCTGACCTGTTCCCTGGTGCTTGCGATCCTGGCAATTTGCTGGCGTATTCTCCTTGACTCCTTGCACCACAGCATGCATCACTGCCTGTTCCCCGTGTCACTTGCCTGCCCTTCCCCTACCACCTCTCCCCCATGCTACCAACCGTCTCTCATGCCACTGACCTGTTCCCTGGTGCTTGCGATCTTCTCCTTGTCTCCCGACACCTCAGCATGCATCACCGCTGGCGTGGCGTCCACCAGCACGGGCAGGTAGCTGCCAGCGAGGACAAGTAGGGACATCAGAATCAGGTGATGGGGAGTGATTGTCAGTAGGGACAAACCAACATGGGGAGAGAACGGAGCTTATGACTAAAGGCGGAAGTGCGTACATATGGGCCACAGCATCTCCATACGTGTTAGAAACTCCATCTCATCTCACCTATTGTAGCTGACAGTGCAGAGGCTGTAGCCGACGTTGGCGATGATGACAAGCAAACCAGCGACCCACACACAGTCGCTGACAGCACCTCTGTACGCGTTATGAACTGATTTCATCGTACCTGTTATAGCTGACGGTGCAGAGGCCGTAGCCCACGTTGGCGATGATGACGAGCAAGCCAGCGAACCACCAGTAGGAGCTCTCGCCCAGGAAGCCGATGAGGATGGATGGGATCACGCCCACCATGGTGCCCACCTTGAGCAGCTGGAGGCGGGAAGAGGAGAGGGGGAAGAGGGAGGGGGGAGAGGGTGGGGGAAGAGGGGAGGGGAGAGGGTGGGGGAAGAGGGGAGGGGAGAGGGTGAGAGAAGAGGGTGGGAACTGTGGTGAGCTCTCGCCCAGGAAGTCGATGAGGATGGATGGGATCACGCCCACCATGGTGCCCACCTTGAACAGCTGAATGGGGAAGGGGAGAGGGGGAGAGGGTTGAGGGGAAAGGGTTTGGGGAGAGGGTGGGGGGAGAAGGGTGGGAGAAGAGGGTGGGAGAGGTGGTAAGCTCTGGCGGAGAAGGCCAATGAGGAAGGATGGGATGACGCCCACCATGGTGCCCACCTGAGCAGCTGAAGAAAGGCTGCGGTGAGAATGGGTGATAAAGGGTGCAGCCAGTGCTGTAGCCCGTGAAGGGGCCGAAGGAGATGAGGGCGAGCAATTGTGTTCTATATCCTCTCAGAGACTTGAAAACGCACATCCAACCCCTCCCATCCTCCTCCTGTAACTCACATCCATGCGGCCAGTGCCGTAGTCCGTGAAGGGGCCGAAGGAGATGAGCGCGAGCACTTGGCAGATGACAGCGATGCCGATGATGATGGTGGCGTACGACACTGGGTTGATCGCCAGGTCCCCCGCATGCACCATGGGCTGAATCAGGTCCTGGTACCTGCCAGGGAAGAGGGGGGGAGGAGGAAGGCAGGGGGGAAGGGGAGGCGGTGAGGGTAATGCGAGCACGGTCAGCGGATCAAATCCCAGACATTTTATTTTTTATTTTTTGGGATTTGAAAGTATTCTGCATGTATTCATCAAGTAATCACGTACCCCGCAGCCGTGACCATCTGGTCGCCTCGTCCCGGGATGCAGTTCCCCGACACCGAGTCGCTGCAGCTGCGTGGGATGACAGCGAGCTCTCAAAGCACATACAACTTCTTTTAGCCCTATCCACTTACCCCGCAGCCGTGACCATCTGGTCGCCGCGTCCCGGGATGCACTTGATGCAGTTCTCCAACACGGAGTCGCTGCAGTTGGGCGGCTTCGAATCTCCGACCTGCATTTACGCGTGTGTGATGGCACGAAACCAGAGGAAGGAGAAGACGGATTAGTTTTGAGTGGAGAGAATGCAGTTCCTCTGGCTGGGACACGGAGTCGCTAAAGTTGGGCGGCTTCGAATCTCCGACCTGCACTTAGACGCGCGCGTCGGCACGAAAGCAGAGGAGCAGGAAGGAGAACGGGGTTTTGACTCGAGAGAATGCAGTTGACTGTCACGGAGTCGCCGCAGTTGGGCGGATGCGAGTCGCCGGCTTGCGTTTCGACGCGAGCGACGACACGAAGTACGAAAAAAGCGGGAAGACGATGGATTTTGCCTCAATGCATCTTGCCTCGAAGCGTTGTGCATATAGCAATCCATGGTGAGACAATGAATGCACTGACGAGCAGGAGCAGCGGAAGCAGGAAGAAGCCGATTCTTGGAGAACGATACATTGGTTGCTGCTTAGAATGTGATTTCCATGAGCCATGTTTCTTCACTTTCAACATTTACGTGGGGGAAAAAGAATCGTCCCCTGTAACCAAGCGTGTGCGTCAGCGAGCACCGCGAATGCACTGGGACAAAGCGAGCAACAAGAGAACCTTACCTGCAGCCACGCGTGTGCATCGGCGAGCAGGAGCAGCAGGAGTGGGAAGAAGATTGGCATCGCGACCGAGCTGAACGCGTTAACGGCGACATTGTACGAGTACCAGCCGTACAGCTCCCATTTGTTCACCGGCGTTTTCTTATCGCTGGGCTCTAGCCCGACTGATGCTAGAGTCGACATATGCTAGAGACGATGTTCAGACGGATTCCGGAAAAAAAAGAATCAGGTGGAAAAAGAATCTGGCGGAATCCGGTAAAAATATGGAATCCGGTGGAATCTGGTGGGATTCAGACGGGAAAAGAACGTCCGATGCTGAGAAAACTTGAGTCGATCTACGGCTGAAATACACCGGGGAGAAAAGACTAGCGTGCGCGTCTTATGCCGAGGGAAACCCGACTGCACTACGCGATACTGAAGGCGGAAGGAAGCTGGAAGACAAATCCTGACTAAGGTCTGAAAGAAGAAATCCGTCAGTCGGGAAATGTAATTCTCTAGCTAGTGATTGACTGCGAATGACTATTACCTGAAATCATGACCTAGTGATGGTTCGTGAATTCTATGCTAGTGAAAGACCGATTGCGGTTGAGTAAGATGTATTGCTTTTTGGAAAGATCAAATAATACTTCAAACGGTTCGGTAGGGACACGCCCCTGAACGCCTGGACAACTTTCTTCCCTGCAGCAATTCCTCATTTGGCAATATCTCAGGAGGGGGCTACGAGGGTTCTGATTGGTTGAGAGTTCCGGCAAGGCCTAGGGAATGGTCTGCTTTCCCGGGCTTTCCTTTCCGTCTGACACGGTCTTCCCGCCGAATCACTACCGTCCGTAGCCTCGCCTCGCCTCACCTCACCGCACCTCACCTCCACCGTTTGCTAAGTTCTGCTGACTCACCCAGAGCAAAAGCGAGTGAGGTATGACTAAATGGAATAAGCATACTTCCATACCCAGTAGAAATGCTTGTATATCGATCACATAAGCAACATCAAACTCTATTGCTTTATCAACTTTCAAGTTTGACAATAAACATGGGACTGCACAAATGTCATACTTAAAAGCATCGATTAAACTTCATGATTTTATGGCATTTGGTGCAGATTAATAAATATAGCATGTTGTGCATATTGCAACTAAGGCTCACGTTTAAAAAAAAGGCACTCTGAGCCAACCCCTCCGAAAAAAAATAGTATGAAGGGTCTTCAGCCAAAATATCGGTACTCGGAAACGTCAGAGTCCAGAACTGAGCTTGTCTGATTTTCTCAGGGTCCAGCGAGTACAACCAGAGTAAAAAAAATAGAGACGGGAATTTGCGGAAAATGTTTAACGACAATGATGACGATGCCCTAGTATGAAAATGTTTTTGACCCTAGCCGAGGAGAGACGAAACAACTATTTTCTAATGGTCGTCCCTTATAGGGAAATCCTCGTCAGCTGCCCGTTTGGCCAACTGAAACTCGATCAAAATTCGACGGCCTCGATCGATTGCGATCGTTTCGACATGTTTCCACCGTCCGATTGTCGCTAATGATTGACGTCCAAGATCTCCCAACCGGGGCGCTGCAAGGGCGCGAAGTTTCTCCCACCGCTTTATTCGCCCAGCTTGCCTCTTCTCCCCAGTTTCGATCCCCTCCCCCTGTTAAAATTATATATTGAGTTATATAATGTGTAGGCTTGGTAGATTAGATGTTACTGAACATTTATGTAGGGGGTACAATACCCCTCCTTGTATCCCCCTCTCTTCTTTCCTAATCCTCTTTTCTCTCACCCATTTTCCGAGCCCAAAACCTCTCGCCATATCCATGGCTCCTCCTCCTACCTAGATCCTAGTTTCTGACATGGTATCAGAGCGGGTTCCCTTCCCAGGCCTGCTCCCCTCGCTTTCGCCGCGCACTCCCTCCCCGTCATGCCGCGCTGGCCTCGTCGCGCCGCGCTGGCCCCGTCGCGTCGCACGGGCCAAGCGTCCGCTGCATTTCCGTCCCCTGTTCGCCGCCGTCGCGGCCTTCCTACTACCTGCCGCCGGGGCACCTTGTGCCGCGGCGGCCCCTTATGCGCTGTCGCCCCAGCGTCGACGAGCAGCCGCGGCGACGACGCCACGCTGTGGTGGCGTCGTCGTGATGCCGTGGCTGTGTCGTCGGCCTGGTGCCGTCGCGCACCACCTGCGTCGCTGCTGGATTTGCAGCCCGCCCGCGTGCCAGTGAGCGCCGCGCCAGCAGTGGCGCCGCGCTGAAGATCCGAAGCCCCGCCCCTTCCCCCCTTCCCTCCGTCCCCTCCTCTTCGCCACAGCCGTCGCCTGACTCTCGCCGGTCGTCCCCCTGTCGCGGAGTATGGACACGTCGCCGGAAGGGCGTGGACCGCTGCTGTTACCGCCGTCGTAAGCCGAAGCCGTCGTCGTCGTTGGTGTCATCGCCGCAGGCCTGTTGCCGCCGCGCGCCCGTCGTCGCCGTGGCTGTCGCCGCTGCCGGGACGGCCGCCGTCGCCATCTCTAGGGCCTTGGGGTTGGCCCTGCTAGAGTAGTCGTGGCTGATGGGAATGGGGGTGCTAGGTTAGGGGGTGTGGGGGTGTGTGGATCCTTGCTACCAAGCCTAGGGGGTGTGTTAAAATTATATATTGAGTTATATAATGTGTAGGCTTGGTAGATTAGATGTTACCGAACATTTCTGTAGGGGGTACAACACCCCTCCTTGTATCCCCCTCTCTTCTTTCCTCTCTTTTCTCTCACCCATTTTCCTAGCCTAAAACCTCTCGCCATATCCATGGCTCCTCCTCCTACCTAGATCCTAGTTTCTGACACCCCCCCCCCCCCCCCCTCCATTTTCGATCCCCCCCTTCCCCTCTGTTTCGCTTCCCCTCTTCCGTCCGTTTCGATCTCCCCCCTTTCCCTCCATTTCGCTTCTCCCAAGAAGGTAGGTTAGCTAGGAAGGTAGGTGGCCATGAAATGGCGAGAGGTTTAGGAGCTAGGAGAGAAATTTACAAGAGAAAAGAGGGTGAGACTAGGAAGAGAGAGGCATACAAGAAGGGAGTTGTACCCTCTACAATAGAGTTCGGTAACCTACCAAGCCTACCAATTATATAACACAATATATAATTTAACACTCCCCTCCCCTCATGGAAGGTTTGTCTACGTGCCCAGCTCACCCTCATATCTGTTATATATCTGTTTATGACTTAGCCAAAAGTTTGTCCTGTTTGGGGTCGGGGTTTTAAGGAGATCGTGTCTGATAACCCCACTTAACCAAGATTTTCGATATGTTGTGGGGTGTGTGGGGGATGTCTCTAGCGTTCGGGGACTTAGCCAAAATCTTCGATGGGTTGTGGGGTGTGTGGAGGATGTCTCTAGCATTCGGGGACTTAGCCGAAATTTTTTGGATCGCATGTTGGTAGTAGGTACATGTGTTTCAGGGTCTGTACGCGCTGTGCTCTGGAAACTCAGTACTGGGTTAGCAACAAGTCTGATTTTTTCAGGATCCCTAAAATCGTACTCTGAAGTGATTAGGATTGGGAAAATGGGTAATGTGAAAATTCAGGTTTGGCCAACAATAGGGTCTGAAATTTCAAACTAATCATACTAAATAGTATGATAACGTTGGCCCTGATTGCAACCAGTTTCCCTTACAACCCTAATCATCAACCACCCCTTCTCTCCCTCGTTTCTGAGTGCTCCCTTTCCCTCCCATCCACTGCCTTAGACTATCACACCGCTCCCAATCCCAGTTCACCTTGCCTTTCCCATGCGAGCATCAGAGCCATAGGGCTCATCATGTGCCACCAAACATGAGCATCATGCTCTCATGCAACAGGTGGCATCAGTGTCATAGGGATCATCATGTGCCACCAAACATGAGCATCATGCTCTCATGCAACAGGTGGTATCAGTGCCATAGGGCTCATCATGTGCCACCAAACATGAGCATCATGCTCTCATGCAACAGGTGGCATTAGTGCCATAGGGCTCATCATGTGCCACCAAACATGAGCATCATGCTCTCATGCAACAGGTGGCATCAGTGCCATAGGGCTCATCATGTGCCACAAAACATGAGCATCATGCTCTCATGCAACAGGTGGCATCAGTGCCATAGGGCTCATCATGTGCCACCAAGCATGAGCATCATGCTCTCATGCAACAGGTGGCATCAGTGTCGTAGGGCTCATCATGTGCCACCAAACATGAGCATCATGCTCCCATGCAACAGGTGACATCAGTGCCATAGGGCTCATCATGTGCCACCAAACATGAGCATCATGCTCCCATCAAAAGTTTGATTCGGGGTGATGGGCGTGTGGCAATGGTGGCGCATGGCACTGGGCTGGAAGGGCTCATACTAGAGTTGTAGGGGGTTAGAAAGCATTCATCCTCATGCACGCATCCCTCTCTTACCTAGTCCCCCTCGCGTGCTAGCTCCATGCCCTGGTGCCGTGTGCTACCATCGCCTTACCTTGTAATTTCGTGCCATATTTCGCTCCGGTTTGGTTGACTTGGACTTATTTCTCCATGCTGGCCCTGCCTTCTGCGTTACATTTTGCTCTTATGTGTGCTTCATTGTACTAATTCGTTCTACTGACCGAGTTTCCTGCGTCCCCTCCCCACAGTGCCTCTTCTTTCAACCCTCTCCTAAACGCCAGCAACACCAGTTCCAGCAGCAGCAGCAGCAGTGCCATCGCTAGCAGCAGCAGCAGCAGCAGCAGAAACAGTAGGAGCATCTGACCCTCCATGCATCTTCCCCCTCCTGCACCTCCTCTCCCTGCCTTCTCCCTATTCTATGGGGGCAAGGGAAGCAGGAAGCAACAAAAACAGCAGCAGCGTGGGAACGACCACAATTCGGGGCAAATCTGTCAAGCCCTATTCTCATGGTAATTTCCCTTACTCACTCCTGTTCTATTGTGCCACCAATTCCAAATGCCATCTGTTTGTTCCCTCGTCCTTGCCCCTTTCCCTTACCCCACGTCGTCTCCTCTCCTGAGCGCTTTTTTTCCCGCCCCTTACCCCCCCATCCCCTCTCATCAGGTATGCAGCGGGAGCGAGCACAAGGAGGAGCAGGTGTTTCTCTTCCATTCACCTCCCCATCCCCTCCTCTCTGGTACGGCACAATAGGAGCCGGAGGGAGCAGCCAGGGGGAAAAGCTTCCCAACCGGCTCCACTTTCCCCCCCCCCACTCCCGTCCACATGTACCAGGTGTGGAGTGCGAGGTGGCGTGAGGTGGCACAAGAGGACAAGAGAGGTGGCGCGGTAAGATCCCTCTCAATTCCCATTGCCATCAGCCCTCATTCCCTCAGTTTCCTTCCCCCCACTTTCCCCCTCCGCCCCCCCTTCCCCCCTCCTCTTTATCCCCAGTCTTCGTTCCCCCCAATCACTGACCTCCTTCTCTCCCCTGTGACTGTCAATTTCTCAGGCGAACGGGAGCAGAGAGACATGCTGGAGCAGCATCAGCAGGCAGGAGGGAGGAAGGGGGCAATGCGGTATGATCTCTTGTGTCTCCAAATCCTTTCAGCTCCTCTACAG